GAGCCCCACCCGCATGCCGATGTCCATCCGGGGATCGCCGTCACCGCAGCAGCCCTGCGCAAGCGGCATCAGACCTAGCCCGAGCTCGAGCATGCACGGCGCTGCCGCCTGGTTGTCGTTGGGCTTGAGGTTGGCGGCAGGTTCGGTGCCGAGCCCGTACAGCTGCAGCGCCTCCTCGCACGACACCGGGCCGCCGCCGTCCCCGCGCACTTGCAGCGCTCCGCAACTGTCGCCTGGATCTCGCGCTGGTCGAGGCTCTTGGCTGTCGCTTCCCAGCGCGCCTACGCCGGCCTCGCTCCTCGAGCTACCGCCTGCCGCCGAGCTCGGCGAGGGACCCGTACCAGAGCTGCACGAGGTCTTGGCCGACTCTCGCGGCGACCAGCAGTAGGCAGTAGGTGGCTAATAGGCGGAGCTGGGACTCCTCTCGCAGTCGCAAAAGGGCGCGTGAAAAACCAAAAAAAAAAGATCAGCTCGATCAGGACGCCCTATTCCGCCGGCGAACCTGCTAGACGGTTGATCGTCAGTTCGTGAGAAACCTGCCCCGAAAGGGAAGGGAAAGGCCAAAGGCAAGACGAGGGTGAGAAGAGAAAGGGCGATAGGTAAAGAAAAGGGCAAAGGAAAGGAAGGTAAGGGCGATCGCACACGTAGTCCCCCAACAAGGCGCGTCGATGGCCCGCACCGAAGCTAAAACGGAACCTAGCGACAGAAGTGATGACGTATGGCGTCTATTCTGGTGGATCCGGGTGAGCCCCACGAGCATTTTTGATTCGTTCCGAAGTTAATGTTCGTGTCGGTTTTTATGGTGCAGCAAATTCAAACACGTTTTTTCCCGCTGTCGATCTCGACTCTACGGCAACAATCGTATCACTCGACGGCCGCAGTGCTTACGATACGATCTCGCGTGCCGCGTTCATGCGCAAGCTGCACACTGTCGTGCTTGCACTCGTCTCCTTTATGCGCATCTGGTACGGGCAGCAGTCCACTTACTTTTGGTGGGATGCCACAGGCCAGCGACGCACCATCCGTCAGGGCGAAGGCTGCGAACAAGGGGACGCGTTGGCACCCGCGCTGTACGCGCTTGGCCCGCCGCCAGTAGCCGCCCCTCTTCAAGCAGGCGCGCGTTGGTGTGGGCAGCAACAAAGCGCGGGTGGCCGATGGGGGTGCCCAACGCTACGAACCCACGCTCGGTTTCGTGTGCATCCCCGCGCCACACGCCGGCCCTGAGCTCGGCGATGCCAGGCGGTGCTGGTCCTCCAGCGCGGTTGTACACCCGGGTTTTGCCGAGATGCCGGACCTCCAATGTGCGTGGCTGCTTCTTGCCATGTGTGCCTCGCCGAGTGCTGACCATCTGTTGCGCACCCTCTCTCCCGACCTCTTTGCCAGCTATGCGCGTGGCCACGACGACGCCGTCTGGCGATGCCTGCTCGCGCTGCTTGGCGAAGAGGACGACGCCGACCCCGAGGTCGCCGACGCACGCCGCCTCGCAATGCTGCCCTCGCGCCTCGGAGGCTTGGGCTTGCAGTGCGCCGCACGCACCGCGCCCGCAGCACTGCTTGGGCCGATGCCCTGCCTGTTCTGCGCGCCCGGCGGCTTGACGCCGCGGTGCCTGAGCCTGGTGAGAGGTGCCAGGGCTTACAGCATCACGGTTCACGCGCTTGCTCTACCCACTTGCGCGAAACCGAGCTGCTACCTACCCACTTTGCCAGCCCACGCCCAGGCCATGCTCCGCTCGCAATCGGGGCCACGCACTGCAGCCTGGCTCAGCGCCACCCCGTGCGAGGCTGGCACTGCTCTGCCGCCCGCCGCCCGACCGCATGGTTTAGCTTTGCGCGGCGGCTGCGGCTGCCCCTGCCCGTCGCCCCGCACAGATGCGGCGAACATGGCCACGGCTGCGGTGCGATGCTTACGGCGACCACCATGCCGCCTGTCCCATCCTGTCCCCGTACCGGTCTGCTCGCCCGCAGAGCCAAGCCCCTCGAGCACGCCTGGGTGCGCGTTGCTCGCGAAGCCGTCGGAGCTGAGGGCCAGGTCAACAGCAGAGGAATCCACTTGATTTTCAGTCACAATGCAAGGCAGAAGCAATCGCATACCCAGCGAGGGAGGCAACTGCAGAAGCAGGGCAATGCCAGGGCAATGCAGTGCTTGAGCTCAGATCGGAATCAAGCACCGTACTGTTAACTGCACAGGCAAGAGACGAGTCTTGCACTTTCCAGGTGCAAGCGGTCTTTTCCTGGGACCTCCGAGCAGGTATTGACCAAGTGAGATAAAGTTAATAGGTGGGAAATCAGACCCCCCTCGACGCCAGCTCATGCGTGAAAGAAACACAGTTCAAAGGCGTCACACAACCCAGATTGTACATCCAGCCATGCCTCTTTCGGAGGTTTTCAAAGCTAGAAGCAAGAAAACTATCACGCATTCGTCGACTTCTTGGAGTTTGATCAGGACGATTGCGCGAAAAAGTCCGGGTCCCCGCTCAATTGCAAGCTACGGACCCAGGCGGCTCGGCGGGGGGGGGGGGGACTGCGTCGTGCAGAACGTCCCCGAGCGCGGGGGCTGGAAGCCAGGCATGGCTCCAGCCACGCACGGCGTGCCAAGCAGCGTTGCAGCAAGGGTGCTTTGCAAAGCAACGCTCAGCAGGCACCACCAGCGGCGCAGCCAGCCCTGAGTAGCGGCGCCGCGCAAGGCGGCAGGAGCGCGCTGGGCTCGGAGCCGTACGAGCTGGGAGACGAACCGGAGCGATGCGGCGCTCCAGCGCCCACCAGCCTCGCACGCAAGGACGCAGAGCCGCTGGGGTCCAGGTCGCACTCTCGGTGTACGCTCCACGTTTGCGCCTCTCAGCGACAGCGACAACGGCACCGTCGCGCGACGCAGCGGAAGGCTGCGGGCGCCCATCCCGTGTCAGCGGGGACACCAGCGTGACGTCGCAGCACAAGGCCTCGCCGAGTGGGGTAGCCCCGTACGCAACGAAGTCGAGGCGGCGGCGATCAGCAGGATCAACGTCGGGGGCCGATGTGCGTGCGAGCCGTTGTTGCGGGACTTCGGAAAGGAATGGAAAGGAACAGAACCGAATGGAATGGAGGAATAAAGCAAGGAATGAAGGAAGGAAGGAAGGAAGGAAGGAAGGAATGAATGAAGGAATGAAGGAATGAAGGAATGCAGGAATGCAGGAATGCAGGAATGAAGGAATGAAAATGAACGGAATGTATGACATGAATTAAAGGAACGATTTGAAAGAACTGAATTATATGAATGAAATGAATGAAATGAATGAAATGAACGTGATTGAAGTGATTGAAATGATTGAAATGATTGAAATGATTGAAATGGTTGAAATGATTGAAATGAATGAAAAGAACGAAAGGAACGAAAGGAATGAAAGGAATGGAAGGAATCGTGCGCAACGCTTCATGCCCTGGGAGAAAAGGCCGGGGGGGGATCACCTTTGTCTTTGCAGTCTTCGCCTTGACCTTGCAAGATGGCGTGGCTGCGCCCATGGGCATCAACCCACGTGTACATGTACATGTTACTTGCAAAAGTTTGCTGGACGGGCGACAGCAATTGCAGCAACTTTAGCAGGCTTAGCTCCGTGTCGTTCTTCTCTAACGTGTAATGCCCGCTGTTGTTGCACTTGCTTTGGCCGAGTGTCGCAAGCGCAGTGCCTACCCAGAGCTTGACATCATTCCGCATTGGTGGCCCGTGCGTTGCGCGCCTGCATGGGGCCACGGCTGCCCTGCGCTGAGCTGCGACGCTCGCGGTGTTTACCCACCAGGCTGTGCAGAGCACACTTGCTGACGCGCTGCTCGCCGCACCCGACGTGCCAAGACCAGTGCCTGGTGCGCAAACTCCGTTGTTGTCATGCTCTGCACGGCGCGTCCGGCGTGTCTACAGGATGGTTTTGTGTATCAACACATGTTGCATTCAGTTGTTCGAGGCATGAACGACGTGCATGTTGCCCCAAATGACCATGCTTATATTTCCGGCACAAGCATTGCAGTTATTGGGCGGTTTTAATGTGAGAAGCACCCGCCAACTAGTCAGTGATGTTGAACGTAGCCGTAGAGCAATGGTGTTTATCCAGAAACAGGTGAGCTGGAAGAAGATTTGGATTGAACACGGCAACTACTTCGCCACAAACACAGGCTGCCGGATGTTGGCGGAAGTTGCGTCATGAGGCCGCTGCAGCCGCATACCTTGCCAGCCGTTAACACAGCACATCAGCACCAGACAACTCAGAAGTGCACAACACAAATCCATGCCTTGTTGATGGATCATGTCGCGTGCTGATGTGCAGCGGCCATACGATTTCTTGCCGCCGCTCCACGAGGCATGATCCAAATCAACCCTGTCTTGTTGGGCTGATGGTGCTGTAACAGGCCCCCTGTGCCATGAGGCTGTGGACACGTATGGTGTGCGATCTCTGCATCCTGCGATCGCAGAAGTGTGGTTCACAAGCCACACGTCTTCAGATTGTTTGCCGACGTGCGGTGCTCAACAACTTTAGAAGGCACTGCGGCTGGGTTTGCCACTGTTTCCGTTGCACCGTGTTGTGCGTGCAGTGCATCTAAGGTCTCTTCAGGAGTCTCGGCGTAAGCTCCTCGAGCAAGCCGTGCAGCAAGCAACGAATGAAACACCCGCTGCAGTTGCGACAGGTTTCGGGCAGCGTTAAATGAGTTTGTATGCTTGCCGTTTGCAGATGCGCAGGCGCCAACTCCGTGTCGGAGAGGCCGTCAACCTGCGAGGACCTGCTCCGTACATGGAATTGGCACCGGTGCTAGGCACACACCATGCGAGGAATTGCTGCAGTTTCTAGCCGATTGGCTGAGCACGGGACGTGAAGCTTTGCGGAGCGAGTTCGAAAGTAAGCTCCGTGAGTCGTATACATGGCCTGTAGCAGACCGGCGGCGGCTTGATCTGCAATTGGATCCATGTATATTCTTGGCGTGAGTTTGTCCGTTACGCAGTGCTGTCATCACTCGATTCCGTGCTTGCACATGACTTCGAGGCAGATGGTGGAAGTTCACCGTCAAAAATGGAGAGCACTTGAGGCCCGTCGAAGCAGCCTGCCAGGTGGTGCCAGGGGCTGCTTGCCTAAGGACAGCTTGCGACAGCTTGACGACGCAATCCGTGCTCCCAGCATAGCAGAGCAACCAGAGCTCGTGGAGCGGAAGGCTGCGAGATGCTGGGATAGCGAACAGTTTGTACCAAGCGTGTGCCAGGCCCAAGCTTCCCTGTCTCGGCTGACGTCTGTTCGGGACACCCCCTTGAAGCTGCAGGCCGTGAGGTTGCGGATTGCCTCCCGGTTCAAGGCTACTGTACGAGTGCCGAGGTGCAGGTCCTGCGGGAAGTGAAGCTACAGTATTGGCCCAGTCCGTCTGGGATCTCCAATCTGCGACCCGAAGATGTGCCGACAGATGCAGAGGCAACACTTGTATACGACAGGCTGCACTATAATAGCATGTGCATGCGTCCGAGATGGCCCAGGTGGATGCTTGGCGAGACGACATGCTGCAGCCTGCACCTGTTGTTCAAGATCGCCCGGGCCGTGAAAGTAGTGTCGGCAGCTTGGTGATGTCAGGAAAGCGGCGCAGCTAACAGCACTACCTGCCACAAGATTTGCAGGAGCCCGTCGCACCCGCCATCAGTGTCGAGACACAGACACCTCTTGACATCCTATCTGATGCGGTGCCAATGTCGCTGCGACAGCGTCCCAGCCCACAAGGCATCATTCGCCAAGACTGTGTGATCGTTTGTAGAAGGTGTACGACGCCCCTTCTTCTGAGGGGCCTGGCATTGTTTGTGTAGGAGGAACCTGCAGTGAATCGGAGGTGTGCCAGCCGGCGAAGCGGACTTGATTATGAATGTGGGAGCCGTGCCAGTGGTACCCGCAACGAGTAGCAGGAGCGTGCCAGAAGGACCCGTTCTCATTTCTGAGCCATATATAAACAAAATCCCAGCAGTTCGCAGATCTGGCAAGGAATCGATGGCGGTTTGGCGGATGTCTTCGCGGGGATGGTGCCTTCCTCGCATTTCGGGGAGTTCTAAGCCGCCTCAAAGGCCCAGAATCCGGGAAGGCTCTTGAACCAAAACGCCCCATGGCCAGAGACCTCGGTGAGTATCTCAGGAAGCTTCTGTAGATCCATCAGACTCCCGAGGCGAATGTGCGTCTTGGCACCGCTGTACTTAACCATGCAACGTCAAGAGGCACATCTAGAAGAAAAGACAGGCAGCACAAGGAGCACAGCACACGGCGCAAAGAAGAAGCAGTGCCATTTGCACGGCTCTTTGAGGGCGTGGAGGCTGACGCGAGCTCTGGAAGCCCCGACAAGAAGTTACTAAGGACGAGAAGGAACGCGAAGCTTTTGCAACTATCGTGAAGGAGCAAGATGAGCTTGCTCAGATCTTTGGATGAATTGGTTTCAGTCTGAGCCGTCATCAAGACGATTTTGGCCACATGTCGGCTAATTGTTTGTCGATGATTGTTAGGCAAAAAGCAGAATCGGAAAGGGCACTTCAGCAAAAGGAACGGTCAATCCAAGAGCAGGAGGAAGCTTTCAAGGCGGCCGTGCAGACTTCAGAGCCAAGCAGTCGCAGGTCACAGGCTGCCAACGGTTGCTGGCAGGACGAGCTGGAAACTCTGCGGCAGGAAGCAAATAAAGCAGAAAGCAAGCTTAAACAGAAAGCCGAAGAAGACATTCTACGGAAAGAGCAAGCTCACCAGGCAGGCATTTGATCCGTCCATGTTGAATGCGCTTTTGGCCGCTGGCCTCAAGCCGCTGATGTTGGTGAAAGGCTGCTCTTCATGCTGAGAAAGAAAAGCTATTCCACGAGCGATACAAGCTTCGCACGCGCTCCATGGGCGAGCAGCTCGTGCTGGAAGCTCGAAAGCTCAAGGATGAGTTGCTCCGACACAGACGTATCAGGCCGGGTCGTGGCACCAAATCCCAAACGGATGCACGAAAGCCTGTTCCTTCAGGCCTTTGCGTGTTGAGGCCGTCAAAGTCCTTTGGCGAACACAGGATCCGACACATTATCTTGATCGGCGTATCCCGAAAAAGCCACAAAAGATCTTGCTTTCCGTCACCAGACGGTTTCCCGTGCAGGAGGATCTGAACCGGATTTTGTGTGGCAAGCAGCTGCTGCAGCGCAGATCAAATGGGGCTACACTGCAATCCGTCATCTGTCTGAACAGCTGTGAAGTGGCGAGTCGTACGGTGGCTGCTTGAAAGTGAGCGAAGGCTTTGCAGCGTCCGGTTTGTTTCAGTGTGCATTCGAGTCAGGAAAACCTCTGCGCTTTCGCCATCGGCAGCGTCCGTGAGTGGTTGTTCCGATCACGGGAGTGGATAGAAGCAAGCTCTTTCGCACCGGGCGGGAAGACCATTGAGACCGCTTCCGATCTTGCCCAACGCTCCGAACCTCAATTGCAGCTGTGCAGCACTTAAAGTACGAGGAACCAAGGCATCACTCAGAGACATGCGAGTGTTGCTTCTACAGGAAAGCGCAGCTGACGGAAGCCATGGGCACGATTGCATCCTTCAAGGCCCGAGCGAAGGCGCTCGCAAGCAGGATGCACCTGGAGCAAAAGGCCATCACCCCCAGGCCCAAGCGGTTTTTCTAGCACGGTCATAGACTGATTCACTTTTTGTTTGGAGGTCGGAGCCAAGGCCCGTGGTGGCTGAAGGCCTGAGCATCGAAAGCGAACAAGCCGAGGCCAGGGTGGGGCAGAAGGCACTTCGCATGTGGAAAGTTGAAGAGAGAAAGGCGGAACACAAGCACACAATCTGATAGGTGTAGACCGATGGAGGACGGCCACGTCACGTAACTATATCAAATGTGGTCAACTTCGTGAATACGTGTCCATGCATGATCTTGCTGCTGCTGTTGCTGCTGTTGCTGCTGTTTCTGCTGCTGCTGTTGTTGCTAGTCTTGTTATTGTTTGTGGCGGTGGCCGTGGCGGTTTGAGTTTTCTTTGGGTTCTTCTGAGCATTCTGAACTTGGGAAGGAAAAGGGTAACGCTGTGGAAGCCATTTGCCACGTCGATGCTGAGAAGGAGCATTTGCGAATAGGCTTGTGTCTCTTTGTCAGAAACACAGTGCCACATCCGGGGTTTGTTTTCGGGCTTGTTGTGTAGGGTCGTCTCGGCTTATTGCGTTTTGTATTCCTGCGCAACGAGTCTTATCATCCTTATCCTTTCCAGGAGCTAACAACTTTTTTTGGGATCCTTAGAAGGCGAGCTTCGCCGGGACCCTCCGCCGCAACCTGCGCGAAATTTCACCGACCTGCACACGGAGCCTTATTGCCACTCCTGCTGCCACTGCTGTTGCTGGTGCTTGATGTTGGGATTTGTTGTTGTGGTTCATTGTCGTTGTTATTGTTGTTGCATTGCTGCGCTGTCTTGTCCTTAGCAACACCATGCAATATGTAGTCTGTGACGGCGCCGGAATTTGCATCATCTTGCTTATATGTGCTCCTTTGCAGGGCGTGCGGCGAGCCGTGGCGGCGCGCCTGCAGGATGCAGAGGCGCATCGGAGAGAGGACGCCGGCTGAGGACGAAGGAATATGAAGATACTTTTTGTTGACTTAGTATGTAGCAATGTAGTAGAGTCGGGCTGCATCCGCGTGTCTCGTTTGGCAACAGGCTGCTTGTTCTCGTAGCCGCTTGTGACTTGTCGAACTCACACCATGTGTTCCTGCGAAAGGAAGTGGCACAGAAAGGCATGGTATCACACCATGATCAGATGCCCCAGATACCGCGATTCTTGCAGTCGTCGGCCTTCTGTGTTAGCGGTCCGAAACTGCCAGCAATGCCTGCCCGCCTGCCCAAACGTGTGCTCGTTGCAGCCGCGAACAGTGTGTTTCCTTCGACGGCCACTCCAAGTCCCAAGCACAGTGGTACTTGCTGCCGGTACATGTGTGGATGATCCAGGCCAAACTCGACAAACTGGCGGAAGAGGTGCTGCCTTGCGTGTAGCATCTACTTTATCTACTGAAGTGTTGGGGCTGTTTGTTGTTGACTATGCGAGGATCTTAGCGTCGACTTCCTCATGCGTTGGTCAGAGCAGATCAGCGCGGTTGGCCTGAAGGGCATGCAGACACAGCGGCACTCGAAGGACCATAGACCGGGAACGAAGGCGACTTTATTACTTTATTGAACGAGTGCAAAGATGCCAGGAGTTATCGGAGCGTATTGAGGCCGCCCTGAAAACGGAGGCAGGGCATTGGCTTCGACGGTCGAATGGTGGATGACCATTGTCAGTCATGCGAGGCTACAAGATACCGCAGCGTGGCGCAAGCTGCATATGCTGAGATCGCTGCTACTTGGATCATGGGCCGTGCGTGACCCCCTGTCTTGCACGCGTCCAATTCAATCTGAGCAAGTTCCAGGCTGACAGGGAAGCAGACGAGTCCCTGAAGCGGGCGCACGAAGCTCGTAAGCGGGAAGAGGCACGCGAGGCCGGGATAAGCTTACGGCACCAGGGCCGTTTCTGAATGTTGCTGTGGATGGTAGCATTGTATGCCGTGACAGCAGGCGAAACGTAAGCAGGAATTGGATGAGAAGATCCGACGCGAGCAGGAGAAATGAATACTGGACTAGTTGGCAGCAATCGCAGAATGGCAGAGCACGTTTGCCAGGAGAAGGCATTACGAGAGAAGGAGAAGCTCGTCCCGCTGAAGCTGCGAATGACTGGACTCAGGCCTCCACAGCCTTGCAAAGTGTCGTTTCACCACAAGTGGGATCCCCAGCCGCGAAGGGCAGACACCATCGAGGACAAGGCCCGAAAAAAGTCTCGGAGTGTGTGAATGGATTCGGGACTCGCATAAAGCATCCGAGGTGAAGTTTGGACACCTGGCAGAGCAGAAGGTGGCCAAGGCATTGGACCTCAAGGGTTCGCAGGCTGGCAGAGCTGAGGGCCATGCCGAAGTGTGCCAAGTGCCTCCATATTCCCTGTCAGGTCCGTGTGACAGGCATTCGATGAAGCCGTGGTGGGACTCGGGACCCTTCGCGACAAGACCGGATCCCTGATTCTTCACCGGTCCCTGAGCAGCCAGCTTGGTCGAAAGTTGCACGCATGAGGACGACGCCGGTGTTCGAAAGGACACGTGTCCAACAGTCTAGGGCCAGGACCCACAGTGTACATAATCATTGCAAGTGACGTTGCATCGGTCTCACCACAGTTTCACCAAAGATGCACACAGCAAAGCGATTCAGGCGAAGTCGTGCTGGTTTGCCATTGCGATGGGAGGTTTGCCTGCTTCACTCCACAGACACCGCAGACCATTGGTCGGAGATAGCCATATGCTGTTGCAGACAACTCAGTCGCTAGCCTAGCTGCTTCAGGTGAACGACACATCATCCGCCGCTCCTTTGCGCTGTAGGGGTTCGGCAGTTCTTTTTGAGGAAGCAGGACTCAATAGCCACCACGCCGGGAGCAATGGAGGCAGTTGCTGTAAGCATCGCGCTTCCTTCCGGAGAAGTGGTTGCGGAGCTGTCGGTGAACCCGCAGAAGCCGGTTTTGCAGTTGAAGACCCAAGTCGCAGGTCTTGAAGGCCTTGCACTTCCTGATGCAGTACTGCTGTTCATGTGGCAGATTACTCGTTAGAAGACCCATGGCATGTTTCGATAGACGTTAGTGACCGGTAGTGGACTGGCGGGTAGTTTTGGGCATGGTCAATGACAGATATATGATCTTCGATTAGGGTATGGCCGATGTCTTGACACCCCCACGTGAAGTAAGACATTCAGCTGCTCTTGAACTTGCGTCGGCGGACAATCCAGCTCCTCAAAAACCTTGGTTTGTTTTTGTTGTTGGGCCTGTTGTGTTCGAATATTACGAGGCTTGAGAACTTGAAATCAGACATCCAGCCGCTTCGATCTGGAGAGATTTTGCCCCTGTATTTATTGGTTGCTTGCTGCGTGGCGGTTTGTTGGCAGGCAGTTGGCACTCTTGAGGGGTTGCACTCTGCTTGGCTGTGCCACACTTGTCCGCACGGCAAGGTTTGCAGTGAGTTCCCGATTCGGGGCCGGAACGCCGAACGGAAGCGTGGGCGGGTAGGTTCTTGGACCCAGGGGTTTCGGCCCATAGACACCTTGCAAGCAAGAAAGCAAGCAAACAGAGAGAGAGGAAATTGCCTTAGGGGCGTCGGGGATGAGTCCCGATACGAGCTAATGTTCAGGATCGGGGGATTCATCGTCGCAGTCCTCACGCCATCCTTCCCGTGCCGCGTGCACAGAGTATCTCCTGACCTCCCCAATGTCCACTCCTCGCATATATTTGATGAGCACGGATGCGAGGGCTTGGGAGACCAGGCTGTGACCCAGCGCAAGCGAGCAAGTAAGCAAAAGAGACAGACTCGATGCCCCGGTCATTGGGAACCCAAGAACCGGCCACTCATTAACACAACGGGTGGTCGGGCGGGCCAAAGGCCTGAGGGTCCCCCAGCGGACCCCTAAGCCCGGCAGAAAAAAAAGGAAAGCGAGAGAGCTAGGGCATGCTAGGGTGCCGTGGTTCGGAGGGATGTTTGCTTTGTCAGCCGACTATAGTGGGCTCTCCGAGTCTGCCGTGTCAGCTGTTTTCTGAGACACGTCCCCCTAACATAGGGGGGCGCCCGGAGCGTGGGGGTGGCACCTCTTACCCTTGCGAAAGAAAGCAGGAGAGGAAGAGAGAGAGAGAGAGAGTCGGGGGCCACTCAGTACTCTTGTGCAGCAGTCATCAGAGACCCCCAAACCAACCACTCAATAAAACAGGGGGTGGTTGGGCGGGCCAATGGCCTGAGGGTCGAGCAATCGACCCCTAAGCCTTGCAGAAAGAAAGAAAATCGGGGGCCACTTAATTCACTTCCGATCAGTAATCGAGGAGCATGTTTTTCCTCCCGATCTCCGAAGCTGCAGGGTGGGGGGAAACTTACTTGTCTGTGCTGCTGTCTGTATGTTGGAGTGCGCATGCATGAAGTATCTTTTGTTGATTGCCCTGCTAGCGAACTCTCTTTCCTTTTTCCGCCCCAGCAATTGCCGAGCCGGGGGGGTACAGCCGAGCCAGACGGGGCTTAACCCCCCACGGAAAAGTCTATAACCTGCCAAGACCCGGAGGGGGGGGGGTGTGTCCGCCTCCTCCTCGCCTGGTAGAAAGAGAGAGAGAGATATAATATATATATATATATATATATATACATATATATATATATAACATGACGATGTGGCCCCAATGGGGCACATGCTTTTCCCAATAGGGCTCTTAGATATCGCATCGCTGTGTCATTGTTTCTACAGATTGGGCACTGAGTCATGTTCTGCCTGTGCTACGTTGTGCCTCCTAGCTGTGCCGTCTGCAGTACTGACCTCCACTTTACTCGCTGTAATCGGGTTCATATCATGTTCTTTTTCGTGTAGCATCCGCAGACGGGGTAAGTCTCCGTATTAATCACCGTTGGACAGTCCCACTGATCTGTTGAGTTGTAGAATCAGGGGGGACAATGACTTGGAACCAGCCGGGGATAGAAGCCCCTCCCATCTTAAGTATGTTCCAACTTCATTGGTCGCTGTGTTCTTGTTTGCAAACAGGTGCTGAAGCTTCTACAGCAACCTTGTGCATGCGCTTCCTTGATCCCTCAACTTTGCATAAGGGGGAACAAACAGACATCAGTAGCAGAGGAGTCTTTGTCCTAGAGAGCATACATACTTGTACTTCCTTTTCGGTATCGTATTCTATATGACATTAGTCGATGGAAGTTTTATGCTCGCTCGTCACACCCCTCAACCTGCATTAACTATATGCGGGTGGGCCTGCGGTCCGGGGGTCTTGACCGACCCTCAGGCCCGGGAGAGAGAAAGAGAGAGTCAGAGACTCTTGTGTAGGGGGAAACCCCTGCACCACAGCCCTGGCGACAGAAAGACTCTTGTGTAAAAAGTTTTTGGGGGGACCGTGAAGTGTGAGCGCTGTGTTCTTGGGTTTCCCTTATCTGCGTTCGTTATTGTGTTTACAAGGAACACCTCACATGCCCGAGTTTTGAGTCCTCATGCCGGGGGACTGTACCTGCACACTGTACCATAACCTCCCCACGGGGGAAACGCCTCCTTGCAAATGCCGTCACAACCTGACGAGTTTCTGTCCATTTGCCTGCAATTCTTTGTCACTCCGTCGCTAAACGACGATGTCTGATCCGCGTACCTCATTCTTAATTCTTTGCTTCGCTCCCAGCTGATAAGCAAGGGGGATAATTCAACCCGCATCTGCTCTCTTTCGCCTTTTCGTTACAGGCGCCCTCAAATGCATGGGAGCTATACCACTGTTTGGGGAATTGCGAGCCAATGGTGGGCCACAAGGGTTGGGGGCTCGCAGTGGATCCACCCAGGACAAATTGTGTCTTCTTTTGCAGCGGTCATTACGACCCCAGCGCCGGCCACTCCATGTTACATTGGGTGGTCGGGCGGGCCCATGACCTGAAGGGTCGCTAGACGACCCCTAAGCCCAAGAACGAGAAAAAAGAGCGAAGAGTCTGATACTTATCTTGCCTCTAGAGTGGAGCCTGCGTTGCAGGACCACAGCGACTCTATTTATTTACAAGGACCCGTTTATCAAACACTCGGCCCTTCTAACTTATAAAACTTGGTATGCTTAGCTGTTGTGGCATGTTGCTTGCGTGGCCTGCACGGGAGCAGCAGTGTCTGTGCAGCAGCACGGCGTGGCTTTTGCAAAAGTTCAGAAGGTCTCCAAATGCATTCGTGTCAGTCACGCTTAGAATTCTCGGAGCCAAGCTGCTCAGGGACGCCGGTGGGCAACCAGATCTTGCTCCTGAACGATAAGCAGGTCGAGGATGGTGATACTCTGGAAAGCTTCGACATCACCTCGTCAGCAACCTTCATTCTGCTACGGCGTGCTCCGCTGCTGTCTGGAGCCATCAATCGTGAAGAGCTGGAGCATCTCTTGCAGGCATGCTCGAACACACATAACTGTCGCACGCGTGCACAATCGCATGGAGGTTTCTCAATCCCGTGGCTCACCTTGCAGGACAACCTCGCTCTTCAGCAGGCCATCGAGGCTTACAGCAATGACCTGCAGTACCTGCCCTCAGATATTGCAGCAATGTCTCAGCAGGTGGTGGAGGGCCTTATTGCAAGTGGGTCAGTTCCAGAAATGCCGGATGGCTTGGATGATCAGTGGCAGGAGCTCCTGGCTTACTCAGGCAAAGCTCGACAGATCGCATTTTCAAGGGCTCTCCGTGCCCAGCTCGAGAAGATTTCCTCGAGCCTTCCTGGTTTGCCGGGACCGGAACCTCATCCACGGGACATGCGGGACCATGCCCGCTCTGTTCCTGTTCCTGCGCCAGCAGGGCAGGCGGGTAAAAAAGATCCCAGCTGCTACACACAGAGGTTGCAACCTGAGAGCCACCCTGCACCAGTTCAAGGAGGTCCGAGCTTAAAAGGGCTTGGCTGGCTAAAAAGCACTGATGCGGAGATTTAGCTGTGACCTGGCATTGTTTGCAAAAGGGTGCCTTGCAGGCGAGCCTGCTCCTGAAGCAGATGCCGCTTTGCGGCATGTGGACCTGCCACAGCGAGCCAACAAGTCCACCGGACCCTGGAGAGGGGCTTCTTGGCTCACCACATGCTGCCAGGGCACACCAGGGTCGTTCGAGGTGCAAAGGGTTAGACGGTGAAACATGTAGCCGCAGCACCAGATAAGGCAGGGCAGGAGCTGTCACTTGGCACGCAAGACGTGACGTGAGATGTGAGTGAAATCATGTGCGTACGGTTGCAGCCATGTGCAGCCACTCCTGCAAAGGAAAGAGTTCCTTCATCGGCAATGGTCTCTTTGTGAGGGCCAAGATGTCGGCTGAGAGTGAAAAAAAGGAACCTGTGAGAGTTTGCAACCTGTCCATCAGACCCCGCGGAACTCGTTGATGCTCTAGCAAGTTGTTGTGGCCATTTTGCGCCATCCCAGTGGTTTGCTCGAGGGTATAGCTGCTGGGCATTGCGAGCATACCAGCGCATGGCAGGAGTGGCAGTGACCGCCCAAACCTCTCTGCCCCTCGAAACAGCAGTTTCGTGCTTGCATGAGGATGGATGACCCAGCCTTGACGCCGGGTGGCTTGTCCCCACGTTTTGCGGCACTCCTGGAAGAGCTGGCAGCCGTGCACCTCGAAGAGGCTCTGACTCCTTTGCATCGGTCCTCTCATCCCTCTCCTCTCTCATCTCTCTCTTCCTCCTCCTTTCCTCCCGTCTCTTCATCCTTGTCCTTTTTTCTCTCCTTCTATATTCTCTTCTCATCTCTGTTCTGTGCCGCTCTGCTGTCCGAGGAGTCCGACCTCTTCCCCTCTCCCTCTCTCTTTCGTTGTGTTTTTGTTTCTTGCTCTATGTCTCTGGTTCTCTCTTGCTCTCTCTCTCTCTCTCTTTCTTTCTTTCTGTCTTTCCTTTTTTCATTTTCTTTCTTTCTTTCTTTCTTTCAGACTTTCGGTCTTTCTTTCTCTCTCTCTCGCTCTCTCTCTCTCTCTCTCTCTCTCTCTCACCCCTCTTGCAGGTTCTAGCCTTCACCCCTCCTCGTGGTGTCTGGTCATTGTCTGTGGGACTACTTACCCGTGCCGTTTGATGATGTTTCTGTCCTTTTGG